TAACAATTATAATACTCATAGGACCTGTCGTACCTGTAATACCTGTGTAATACCTGTCTAATACCTGTGTAACACCTGTAATACCTGTATAATGCCTGTGTAACACCTGCAATACCTGTCTAATACCTGTGTAGCACCTGTAATACCTGCCTAATACCTGTGTAGCACCTGTAATACCTATGTAACGCCTGTAATACCTGTGTAACACCTATAATACCTGTGTAACACCTGTAATACCTGTGTAACACCTGTAATACCTGCGTAACACCTGTAATACCTGCGTAGTACCAGAATCCTGGAGGATAGCGAATGTATTACCGATTTTCAAGAAGGGGGATAGATCATTATCCTCTAACTACCGCCCAATCAGTCTAACATCAATAGTAGGCAAATTACTGGAAGCAATCATTTCAAACTCTATTCGAAATCACCTGGAGAAGCACCGATTGATCAATGATTCCCAGCATGGCTTCACAAGCGGACGTTCTTGTCTAACTAATCTGTTAACATTCTTTTCATCAGTTTTCGAATCGGTGGACGAGGGGCACAATTATGATGTGGTATATCTCGACTTTAGCAAAGCCTTCGACAGAGTCCCCCACGAAAGACTAATTAGAAAGGTAGAAGCTCATGGCATCAAAGGTAACGTCCTTAAATGGATTAGGGCGTGGTTACAGGACAGGAAACAGCGAGTGAGCATTAACGGCACTAAGTCCCATTGGAGCAATGTCACAAGTGGAGTTCCCCAAGGCTCAGTACTTGGACCATTATTATTTATTATATACATAAACGACATAGATATCGGCATAGACAGCAACATAAGTAAATTTGCTGATGACACTAAAATAGGACGTGTTATTAAATCTGACGAGGACTCAGCAAAACTACAGGAAGATCTAAAAAATTTTTCGAATGGTCTGAAAAATGGCAGATGAAATTCAACGTGGACAAATGTAAAGTACTCAGTATAGGAGATGTAAACAGGGAAACCAGATACCAGATGAACAACGATGCCATAGAGAAATCCGACTGTGAGAGAGATTTAGGAGTAATGATAAGTAGGAACCTTAAGCCAAGTAAACAATGTGTTTTTGCTCGTAACAAGGCTAATAAAGTACTTGGGTTCATACAAAGGAGTGTTAGTTACAAGACTAGCGAGGTCATCCTAAAACTGTATCTTGCTCTTGTGAGACCACACCTGGATTACGCAGTTCAGTTCTGGTCACCGTATTACAGAATGGATATAGAATCCTTGGAAAGAATTCAGAGGAGAATGACAAGACTAATCCCGGGCATTAGGAACCTTGAGTATAGAGACAGGTTAAAGCATCTTAATTTGCACTCCCTCGAGAGACGTAGAGCGAGGGGCGACCTGATAGAGGTGTATGGAAGGCAGGGCTAAACAAAGGGACATTACAAAGGTACTCAAACTATCCACCCAGGAGCGAACTCGTAACAATGGTTTTAAATTAGACAAATTTAGATTTAGGCGTGAAATAGGTAAACACTGGTTTGGAAACAGAGTAGTGGATGAATGGAACAAGTTACCAAATATCATCATTAACTCGAATACGCTGAATAGCTTCAAACATAGGTTGAATGCTTATATGAGCAATAGGGGTTGGGTGTAAACGGGACTGCCCAGTATGGGCCAATAGGCCCGCTGCAGTTTCCTCCATTCTTATGTTCTTATGTAACACCTGTAATATCTGCATAACACCTGTAATACCTGCGTAACACCTGTTATACCTGTGTAACATCTGTAATACCTGTGTAACACCTGTAATACCTGTGTAACATCTGTAATACCTGTGTAATACCTGCGTAACACCTGTAATACCTGCGTAACACCTGTAATACCTACGTAACGCCTGTAATACCTGTGTAGTACCTGTAATACCTACGTAACACCTGTAATACCTGCGTAACACCTGTAATACATGCGTAACACCTGTAATACCTGCGCAACACCTGTAATACCTACATAGCGCCTGTAATACCTGTGTAGTACCTGTAATGCCTGCGTAACACCTGTAATACCCGCGTAGTACCTGTAATACCTGTGTAATATCCAATATTCTCGGGTGTTATTAACGAGTGTACCTTTGCAGTGAATTCTGATTAGATCGCCGAAAATGGAAATTGTTTGTAAATGGTTTAAACTGACGTGGCCATTCTCCGGTTACCAGAACGTTCAGTCACATTAGAGGAACATCATTTGTGACTGTCCTGGTGTAATGGTCGGGAAGGGAGAGTGTTTCATTTTTCATTTGGGAGTCGAATTGACGCAACCTTCTAAAAATATGTCCAGTGGTGAGCCGGAGTTATCTAGTGCTTGGTGTACTGGGAGAGTAACACACACACACACACACACACCGACCACCGACGGGTCAAGACGGGTCAGACGCACCTGGCGCTGCTCAGCAGCAGCCACGTCAACTATTATGTTGGCCCATACCAACTCCCACCCTTGAACCCTCCTCCCCACCGGAATATCAACAAGTTCTCGCCAGAAGTTACTATTTCATTTGGGAAAGGAATGGAACCAGTGTTGAATAGTGGTGAACAGTGCTTAAGTCAGTGAAAAACAACTCGGCAGTTGAGTCTTACCCAAGCTAACCTTCACACAGTGAGGTCCCAGGTACCCAGTGATAATTTCCCTGAGACTCCACGATAGAGAAGCCTGGGACCACACCTCACCCACTTGAGTGAGTGAAGTCCTGTGACAACAGACCACGTGGTGTCCCCACTATGCTACGACACCACATAGTGAATGAGTTGCTACAGCATCATGTGAAGTTCCTCATAACACCATCTGTGAGGGAATTACTACACCACATCAGGCCCCTCATACACCATCTGTGAGGGAATTACTACACCACATCAGGCCCCTCATACACCATGTGTGGGGGAATTACTACACCACATCAGGCCCCTCATACACCATCTGTGAGGGAATTACTACACCACATCAGGCCCCTCATACACCATCTGTAAGGGAATTACTACACCACATCAGGCCCCTCATACACCATCTGTGAGGGAATTACTACATCACATCAGGCCCCTCATACACCATCTGTGAGGGAATTACTACATCATCCAGGCCCCTCATAACACCATCATGAGGGAATTACTACACCCACATCAGGCCCCTCATACACACCATCTGAGGGGTACTACACCACATCAGGCCCCTCATACACCATCTGTGAGAGAATTACTACACCACATCAGGCCCCTCATACACCATCTGTGAGGCAATTACTACATCATCAGGCCCCTCATACACCATCTGTGAGGGAACTACTATATCATCAGGCCCCTCATACACCATCTGTGAGGGAACTACTACATCATCAGGCCCCTCATACACCATCTGTGAGGGAACTACTACATCATCAGGCCCCTCATACACCATCTGTAAGGGAACTACTACATCATCAGGCCCCTCGTAACATCATCTGTGAGGGAATTACTACACCACGTCAAGCCCCTCATAACACCACCTGTGAGGGAGTACTACCTACATCAGGCCCTCATAACACCATCTGTGAGAGTAACTACTACATCATCAGGCCCCTAATAACACACCATCTGTGAGGAGTACCACCACATCAGGCCCCCTCATAACACCCATCTGTGAGAATTGCTACACCACATCAGGCCCCTCATAACACCATCTGTGAGGGGTACTACATCATCAGGCCCCTCATAACACCATACGTGAGGTGCTACACCACATCAGAGCCCCTCATAACACCATCTGTGAGGAATTACTACATCATCAGGCCCCTCGTAACACCATCTGTGAGGGAATTACTACATCATCAGGCCCCTCGTAACACCATACGTGAGGGAATTACTACACCACATCAGGCCCCTCATAACCCCATCTGTGAGGGAATTACTACATCATCAGGCCCCTCATAACACCATACGTGAGGGAATTACTACACCACATCAGGCCCCTCATAACACCATCTGTGAGGGAATTACTACATCATCAGGCCCCTCATAACACCATCTGTGAGGGAATTACTACATCATCAGGCCCCTCGTAACACCATCTGTGAGGGAATTACTACACCACGTCAAGTCCCTCATAACACCACCTGTGAGGGAGTTACTACACCACGTTTCTGCTGTTCAACACCTCAGCTCACATGATCTACGTGTAAACATTAATCTGTATGTTCACTGTATGTTCCTTTACCTTTCTCTAATGAAGGCTTTTGTTAATGTATGTAATTAGTCATTTATGTCCAATGTATATTTTCAGCCTTCGGGCTGCAAACTTTTTCAATAAACCGTTTATTATTATTATTATTATTATTATTATTATTTATTTTACACACACACACACACACACACACACACACACACACACACACTCATCGCACTAATTAAATGTGGAGGGTGAGATACCTTGGAGATAGAACTACTTAATGACGTCACCATGGACAAGGAAATACTTAATGACGTCACCATGGTCATAGAAGCACTTCATAACGTCACCTTGGTCATAGAAGGACTTAATGACGTCACCATGGTCATAGAAGCACTTAATGACGTCACCATGGTTCTAGAAGCACTTAATGACGTCACCTTGGTCATAGAAGGACTTAATGACGTCACCATGGTCTTAGAAGCACTTAATGACGTCACCATGGTCATAGAAGGACTTAATGACGTCACCATGGTCAGAGAAGGACTTAATGACGTCACCATGGACAAGGAAATACTTAATGACGTCACCATGGTTCTAGAAGCATTTAATGACGTCAACATGGACAAGGAAATACTTAATGACGTCACCATGGTTCTAGAAGCACTTAATGACGTCACCATGGACATAGAAGCACTTAATGACGTCACCATAGCCATAGAAGCACTTAATAACGTCACCACGGTCATAAAAGCACTTAATAACGTCACCATGGTTCTAGAAGCACTTAATGAAGGTCACCATGGCCATAGAAGCACTTAAAGACGTCACCATGGCCATAGAAGCACTTAATAACGTCACCATGGCCAGAGAAGCACTTAATGACGTCACCTTGGCCATAGAAGCACTTAATGACGTCACCATGGTCATAGAAGCACTTAATGACGTCACCTTGGCTAAAGAAGCGTTTAATGACGTCACTGGCCTGGCATAAAGCAAACATGGTTGGCGGGGAATTGCAGTAGTCAGTTTATAATATTTTGATTGACGTGTGAAGTGAATAGCATTGTCAGCCATTAAAGGTCTGTTTGTTGGGCCTGGTGAGAGAGAGAGAGAGAGAGAGCTTTCCTTGTAATTTTCAGCATTCATTGAGACACCACACACACACACACGCACACACACACACACACACACACACACCACACACATCACCTTCAGAAACTTTATACAACCCGGAAAGAAAACAAACCGCTCGTAGTTGGTTCAACTTCCATGATACCCTTTAAGTTTCAGCTCTGAGCCCACCTGTTGCTCTTGGAAGGTCACGGAGGAAGGTCACCAGATAGGAAGGTCACGGTAGGAGGGTCACCAGGTGGGAGGGTCACCAGGTAGAAGGGTCCAGGTGGGAGGGTCCCAGGTGGGAGGGTCACCAGGTAGGAGGGTCAGGTAGAGGTCACCAGGTAGAAGGGTCACCGGTAGAAGGTCACCAGGTGGGAGGGTCACCAGGTAGGAGGGTCATAGTGGGAGGTCCTGGGTAGAGGTCACCAGGTAGAAGGGTCACCAGGTAGGAGGGTCACCAGGTAGGAGGTCACCAGGTGGAGGGTCACCAGGTGGGAGGTCACCAGGTAGAAGGGTCACCAGGTGGGAGGTCTGGGTAGGAGGGTCACCAGGTAGGAGGGTCGGTAGGAGGGTCACCAGGTAGGAGGGTCTGGGTAGGAGGTCACAGGTGAAGGGTCACCAGGTAGAAGGGTCCAGGTGGGAGGGTCACCAGGTAGGAGGGTCACCAGGTAGGAGGGTCACCAGGTAGAGTCACCAGGTGAAGGTCTGGTAGGAGGTCACCAGGTGGAGGTCTGGGTAGGAGGGGTCACCAGGTAGGAGGTCACCAGGTAGAGGTCCAGGTAGGAGGGTCACCAGGTGAGGGTCACCAGGTGGGAGGTCACCAGGTGGGAGGGTCACCAGGTGGGAGGTCACCAGGTAGGGAGGGTCACCAGGTAGGAGGGTCAGGTGGGAGGGTCACCAGTGGGAGGTCACCAGGTAGGGGTCACCGGGTAGGAGGGTCACCAGGTGGGAGGGTCACCAGAGAAGGGTCACCAGGTAGGAGGGTCACTGGGCAGGGTCCTGGTGGGGAGGGTCACCAGGTAGGAGGTCACCAGGTAGGAGGGTCACAGGTAGGAGGGTCTGGGAGGTCACCAGGGAGGAAGGTCACGGAGGAGGTCTCCAGGTAGGAGGTCACCGGGTAAGTCACCAGGTAGGAGGGTCACCAGAGAGAAGGGTCACCAGGTAGGAGGGTCACCAGGTAGGAGGGTCACCAGGTGAAGGTCACCAGGTAGGAGGTCACAGGTAGGAGGGTCACCAGGTAGGAGGGTCACCAGGTAGGAGGGTCACCAGGTGGGAGGAGTCACCAGGTAGGAGGGTCACCAGGTAGGAGGGTCTGGTAGGAGGGTCACTAGGTAGGAGGGTCACCGGGTAGGGAGGGTCTGGGTAGGAAGGTCACCAGGTAGGAAGGTCACCAGGTAGGTGCCAGGTAGGAGGTCACCAGGTAGGGGGGGTCACCAGGTGGGGAGTGTCACCAGGTAGGAAGTTCACCAGGTGGAGAGGTCACCCGATGGGAAGGTCACGGTAGGGAGGGTCACCAGGTGGGAGGGTCACCAGGTAGGTGAGTCACCAGGTAGGAGGTCACCAGGTAGGAGGGTCACCAGGTAGGAGGGTCACCAGGTAGGAGGGTCACCAGGTAGAAGGGTCAGGGTAGAGGCCGCCAGGTAGGGGAGGGTCACCAGGTAGGGTCACCAGGTAGGAAGGTCACCAGGTAGAAGGGTCATCAGGTAGGAAGGTCACCAGGTAGGAGGGTCACCAGGTAGGAGGTCACCAGGTAGGAGGGTCCAGGTGGGAAGTTCACCAGGTAGGAGGGTCACCACGTAGGAAGGTCACCAGGTGGGAGGTCACCAGGTAGGAGGGTCACCAGGTAGGGAGGGTCACTGGGAGAGTCACCAGGGGTGGAGGTCCTGGTAGGAGGGTCACCAGGTAGGAGGGTCACCAGGTAGGGAGGGTCACCAGGTAGGAGGTCACCAGGTAGGAAGGTCCTAGGTAGGCGGGTTACCAGGTAGGAAGGTCACGGTAGGAGGGTCACCAGGTAGGAGGTCACCAGGCAGGAAGTTCACCAGGTAGGAGGGTCACCAGGTAGGAGGTCACCAGGTAGGAGGGTCACCAGGTAGGGTCACCAGGTAGAAGGGTTACCAGGTAGGGAAGGTCACCAGGTAGGAAGGTCACCAGAAGGAGGGTCACCAGGTAGGGAGGGTCACCAGGTAGGAAGGGTCACCAGTAGGAAGGTCACCAGGTCGGAAGGTCACCAGATAGGAAGGTCACCAGGTAGGAGGTTCACTGGGTGGGAGGTCACCAGATAGAAGGGTCACCAGGTAGGAGGTCACCAGATAGGAAGGTCACCAGGTAGGAGGGTCACCAGGTAGGAGGGTCACCAGGTAGGGAGGTCACCAGGTAGGAGGGTTACCAGGTACGAAGATCACCAGGTAGGAAGGTCACCGGGTAGGAGGGTCACCAGGTAGGAGTGTTCACCAGGTAGGAGGGTCACCAGGTAGGAAGGTCACCAGGTAGGAAGGTCACCAAGTAGGAGGGTCACCAGGTAGGAGGGTCACCAGGTAGGAAGGTCACCAGGTAGGAGGTCACCAGGTAGGAAGGTCACCACCTGAGTGCTGTTCTTATATCTATCAGTGCGGGCTCTTATGGGCTGAATTTTGTTGTAGTGGCAGACTGCGCGAGGTGGGCGGGGGATTGCCGGTGGCAGGAGGTGGCGATGAAGAGGATGGTGCAGTAATCCACTGCCAAACCTTGCTAGTGCTTGGTGGTGGAGGTTCACTGAGGGATGGCATTTCCAGGGTGGAGAGAGCGTTGTTGTAGCCGGAGTAGTCTGCGCCGAACATGATTCTGCAGGCCCTTTTCTGTACCTTCTCTAGCCGACGTTGTTGGGTAGAGTTGAGAGAAGCCGACCAGGCTGGTGACGCATACGTTAGTTTGGGGAGAATAAAGGCGTTGTAGATAGTCCTCAGCTCTGGCGTGGGTGCCCCAAGTAACCTAAGTCGTCGTAGCATGTAGAGTCGGTATGAGGCTGCCTTGGTTGTGTTGTTTACATGGACCTTCCAGTCCAGTTTGTGGTCTATGGTGACACCCAGGAGTTTGGCAGACTGCACTATCTGGAGAGGATGGGCACCCACTGTAACTGCTGGAGCTTGCTTTGGAGTGGTGGCAGTATTGATGTGCATGACTACGGTTTTGATGTGGCTGATGGTGACCTTGTTTTCCGTAGTCCATGCCTGTAGCCTGTCCAGGATGCCTTGTAGCGATGAGTAGTCCGGTGAGGTGCTGTCCACTGTAACCCCCACAGTGCAGTCATCTACGTACTTCCACCTGTGAGGAATGTCCGATAGAGCGTCGTTGATCAGGATCAGGAAGCACAGTGGTCCCATCTTGGTCCCCTGGGGAACACCGCAGGTGAGGTATTGGAATGTGGAGACAGAACCCTGGTAGCTCACTGCCTGACGACGTTCACTCAAGAAATCAGTGAGCCATGAGACCAGGTTGGTGGGCAGCCCTAGTGCAATAGCCTTGTTGATAACAGCCCAGTGATCAACAAGGTCAAAAGCCTTCCTGAAGATCAACAAGGGCAACGGCCAGGTTTTTGTGCTGGAAATCCAGGAAACTAACTAAGCAGTGTGATGTAGAGGAGGTCCTCATATTGCCAAATTGCTGTGGATCAATTGACTGATAAATTCTAGCAATTGCCCACTTAAAAACAAAGTCTTCACAGAGTAGACTGGGTATGGGGGTAATGGCAACTGGCCTGAGGTCGTTAGGGGACTGTGGGGTGGTGACCTTGGGGATAGGGCATTTGCTTTGTCTGAGGGATGCATTAATAATAGAACAGAGGGGGGTGGCAAGTTCGACTGCAAACTCCTTGTAAATTTTGATCGGGAGGTCAATTGGGGTTGTGGGGCGTTTGGATTTAAATTTCAGGAGTTTGTTGGCGATTTCAAATAGTTGAACACTGGGAGGGGAGGGGGGGAAGGTAAGTAAGCCGGGAGGAGAGTGAGGTCAAGACTGGGTAGGGTATGACATATGGTAGCAAAGTGGTTATTAATTATCTCAGCTGCCTCCTCACTAGGTAAATGTGAGATGAAAGGAAGTGTGGGAGACTGACGGTTGAGACCACAGAGATCTTTTACCTTGGAGTACCACTGACCGATGCCGACTTCCTTGAGGCCGTGCACTTTCCTGGGATTATAAGACTTCTTGGCTGACTTGATTTCCCTGATGACCTGGTTACGTAGACTTTTGTACAGGCGGTTGTTGGTGTAGTATGCCTTGTTTCACTGCTCAATTAGTCTTTTAATACGGGGTGTAATCCTCGGGACATCATCGGGATGGATTCTCAGTGTCTTGGCTGAAAAGAAGTGGTGATAGGCTTTGGTGATAGTGATAGTGTCCAGGTAATTATCCCACTTGTTCTGCACATAGTCTAACGTGATCACTTCAGTCCAGGGATACCGGGTCACCCATTGTCCGAAACGCCGCATGGCAGAGTCAGGGGTAGGTCGGTAAGTCCTGGTGGCAACTGGCGGTCGTGAGATGGTAGGTGACCATGGGTGCTGCGCCCCATGGGAGGCAGCGGCTGGGGGGGAAGGTAGTGGTTGCCGAGATCAGTCATGATGAGGTCCAGGATGGCATTCCCATGTGAAGGAAAGTCAACTATTTGTGCAAGGTGGAGGTGTTGGGTGATGTCACTGATGTCTAACTCATTAAAGTCACCGCATATCATTAGTTTAGCACATGGAAATCTGGATCTCAGTGTGTGTGTGTGTGTGTGTGTGTGTGTGTGTGTGTGTGTGTGTGTGTGTGTGTGTGTGTGTGTGTGTGTGTGTGTGTGTGTGTGTGTGTGTGTGTGTGTGTGTGTGTGTGTGTGTGTGTGTGTGTGTGTGTGTGTGTGTGTGTGTGTGTGTGTGTGTGTGTGTGTGTGTGTGTGTGTGTGTGTGTGTGTGTGTGTGTGTGTGTGTGTGTGTGTGTGTGTGTGTGTGTGTGTGTGTGTGTGTGTGTGTGTGTGTGTGTGTGTGTGTGTGTGTGTGTGTGTGTGTGTGTGTGTGTGTGTGTGTGTGTGTGTGTGTGTGTGTGTGTGTGTGTGTGTGTGTGTGTGTGTGTGTGTGTGTGTGTGTGTGTGTGTGTGTGTGTGTGTGTGTGTGTGTGTGTGTGTGTGTGTGTGTGTGTGTGTGTGTGTGTGTGTGTGTGTGTGTGTGTGTGTGTGTGTGTGTGTGTGTGTGTGTGTGTGTGTGTGTGTGTGTGTGTGTGTGTGTGTGTGTGTGTGTGTGTGTGTGTGTGTGTGTGTGTGTGTGTGTGTGTGTGTGTGTGTGTGTGTGTGTGTGTGTGTGTGTGTGTGTGTGTGTGTGTGTGTGTGTGTGTGTGTGTGTGTGTGTGTGTGTGTGTGTGTGTGTGTGTGTGTGTGTGTGTGTGTGTGTGTGTGTGTGTGTGTGTGTGTGTGTTCAGTAAGATGGCCAGGTACCTCTCTGTGTGTATCTTCTTACCTGAATGTTTGTTTATGTTGAAAGAGTCGAGTTCAAACAAACTATAGTCTCCTTTACACACACACAGACCCTTAACATGACCTGAACATTGCCAGCTATATGACACACAGGTGAGGTGAGTGAGATGTGGTCGCCGGCTGGCCTCACCTGCCCGGACACCCAATTACCAGGCGCTCGTAGGTAATCAGCGTAAAGTGTACAGCATCGTCTCGGGTTATTTCTCTTTGATCGCTTGCCTCACCGAATATTAAACGTGGATTACTAAGGGGGGGGTGAGGAGAGGAGGAGGAGAGGGGAGTAGGAGGAGGAGGAGAGGGGGTAGGAGGAGGAGGAGAGTGGAGTGAGCAGGAGGGACGGCAGGGAAGAGTGGAGCGAGGAAGAGGAGAGGGGTGAGTTAGCCAGGAGGTCTGGTGGGGGGGCAGAATGGGAGGTAAGTTGTAGGGTAGGGAGGTGAGGGGAGGAGAGGGAGATGAAAAGTCAGAGAAGGAAGGGGAGGGCTAGAGAGAAGAAGAAAGAAGAGTGAGGTAGAGAACGAGGGGAGGGAAAGAGAGCGTAAGGAATACCAATGAGGCGAGTGGGAGGAGTGGAAAAGAGAGGAGAAGGAAGAGAAATAGGAAGACAAGAGTAGGGAAAGGAGGAAAAGAAAGATGAAGGGAAAGGAGTAGAACGGAGAGGAAGAGGAGAGGAATTATACACCGCGGGAGAATCGGTTCTTCAGGGATCAAGCAGCGAGAAGTGTTATAAACTCTCACCATCCAGCTGGTAGTCAGAGAGAGAGAGAGAGAGAGAGAGAGAGAGAGAGAGAGAGAGAGAGTACTGCAGCAAACTTTCTGTCTGCTACTAGTCAGATTACTCGTGGTATTGGTAGTGCTGGTGGATGGAGCAGGTACTGGTATCCTGCTAGTACTGGTGGATGGAGCAGGTACTAGTAGCCTGCTAGTACTGGTGGATGGAGCAGGTACTCGTAGCCTTCTAGTACTGGTGGATGGAGCAGGTACTGATAGCCTGCTAGTACTGGTGGATGGAGCAGGTACTGGTAGCCTGCTAGTACTGGTGGATGGAGCAGGTACTGGTAGCCTGCTAGTACTGGTGGGTGGAGCAGGTACTGGTAGCCTGCTAGTACTGGTATATGGAGCAGGTACTAGTAAGCCTGCTAGTGCAATTGGATGGAGCAGGTGCTAGTAGCCTGCTAGTGCTATTAGATGGAGCAGGTGCTACAGTAGCCTGCTAATGCTTTGGTGGGTGGGCAGGTGCTGGTAGCCTGCTAGTACTGAGCCATATGGAGCAGGTACTGGTGGCCTGCTAGTGCTGGTGGATGGAGCAGGTACTAGTAGCCTGCTGGTACTGGTAGATGGGCAGGTGCTGGTAGCCTGCTAGTACTGGTGGGTGGAGCAGGTACTGGTAGCCTGCTAGTACTGGTAGATGGAGCAGGTGCTGGTAGCCTGCTAGTACTGGTAGATGGAGCAGGTACTAGTAGCCTGCTAGTACTGGTGGGTGGAGCAGGTACTGGTAGCCTGCTAGTACTGGTAGATGGAGCAGGTGCTGGTAGCCTGCTAGTACTGGTAGATGGAGCAGGTACTAGTAGCCTGCTAGTACTGGTAGATGGAGCAGGTACTGGTAGCCTGCTAGTACTGGTAGATGGAGCAGGTGCTGATAACCTGCTGTTACTTGCTGGGTGGATGGGCAATTGCTGGTAGCCTGCTAGTGCTGGTGGATGGACAGGTACTGGTGGCCTGCTAGTACTGGTCAGATGGAGCAGGTGCTAGTAGCCTGCTAATGCCTGATGTAGATTGGAGCAGGGTGCCAGTGACCTGCTAGTGCTGAGTAGATGGGCAGGTGCTGGTAGCCTGCTAGTACTGGTAGATGGAGCAGGCACTAGTGGCCTGCTAGTGCTAATTAGATTGAACTGGTGCTGGTAGCCTGCTAGTGCTGGTAGATGGAGCAGGTACTAGTGGCCTGCTGGTACTGATGAATTAGACAGTGCTGGTGGCCTGCTAGTGCTGGTGGGTGGAGCAGTGCTACAGTGGCCTGCTAGTGCTGGTAGATGGAGCAGGTGCTGGTGGCCTGCTGCTGGTGCTGGTAGATGGAGCAGGCTGGTAGCCTGCTGGTATGATTGGGTGGAGCAGACAGTGGCCTGCTGGTACTGGTGAGATGGAGCAGGTGCTGGTGGCCTGTGCTAGTGCTGGTAGATGGAGCAGTGCTAGTAGCCTGCTGAGTACTATTGAATGGGCAGTGCTGGTGGCCTGCTAGTACTGAGTAGATGGGCAGGTGCTAGTGGCCTGCTAGTGCTGATGGATGTAGACAGGTGCTGGTAGCCTGCTAGTAGCAATATGGAGCAGGTACTAGTGGCCTGCTGGTACTGGTAGATGGACAGTGCTGGTGGCCTGCTAGATTAACTGGTGAATTAGACGGGTGCTGGTGGCCTGCTAGTGCTGGTGGATGGGCAATTGCTGGTGAGCCCTATGGTCTTTGGTCAGATTGGAGCGGGTACTGGTGGCCTGCTAGTGCTGGTATGTGGAGCAGGTACTAGTGGCCTGCTGAGTACTGAGTAGATGGGCAGGTGCTGGTGACCTTGCTGGTGCTGGTGGATGGAGCAGGTACTGGTAGCCTGCTAGTACTGGTAGATGGAGCAGGTACTAGTAGCCTGCTAGTACTGGTGGGTGGAGCAGGTACTGGTAGCCTGCTAGTGCTGGTGGATGGAGCAGGTACTAGTAGCCTGCTAGTACTGGTGGATGGAGCAGGTGCTGGTAGCCTGCTAGTACTGGTGGATGGAGCAGGTACTAGTAGCCTGCTAGTACTGGTGGATGGAGCAGGTACTAGTAGCCTGCTAGTACTGGTAGATGGAGCAGGTACTAGTAGCCTGCTAGTACTGGTGGGTGGAGCAGGTACTGGTAGCCTGCTAGTACTGGTATATGGAGCAGGTACTGGTAGCCTGCTAGTACTGGTGGATGGAGCAGGTACTAGTAGCCTGCTAGTACTGGTAGATGGAGCAGGTACTGGTAGCCTGCTAGTGCTGGTGGATGGAGCAGGTACTAGTAGCCTGCTAGTACTGGTAGATGGAGCAGGTACTGGTAGCCTGCTAGTGCTGGTGGATGGAGCAGGTACTAGTAGCCTGCTAGTACTGGTAGATGGAGCAGGTACTAGTAGCCTGCTAGTACTGGTAGATGGAGCAGGTACTGGTAGCCTGCTAGTGCTGGTGGATGGAGCAGGTACTAGTAGCCTGCTAGTACTGGTGGATGGAGCAGGTACTGGTAGCCTGCTAGTGCTGGTGGATGGAGCAGGTACTAGTAGCCTGCTAGTACTGGTAGATGGAGCAGGTACTGGTAGCCTGCTAGTGCTGGTGGATGGAGCAGGTACTAGTAGCCTGCTAGTACTGGTGGATGTAACCTGTTATTGATTGAGTTAAAAGTTTCTGCGTGCTGCCCTCTCACGGGGGATGAGTGAGAGGGGCGAGGGAGGGAGGAAGGGAGGGAGGCTGGCAGGTGAGGGTGTGGTGGCGGGCCTCAACAGGTGGCGCTGCTCACCTGTGTGCACCGTGTGTCTGATCAATGCTTGCTGGCCTCCACGTGATCAATACATGTTGACTAGCGGCTTACACTAAGCAATGTTTGTTTCCCCCACAGGCGGCTGTACGAGACCCGGGAGGTGGCGGCTCCTGAGCTACGCCCGCAGCCCGTCGACCTGCTGCCGCCCAAGGTGAAGGAGCAGGAGAGCGCGGTGCTGGAGGGCGTGGGCGTGCGGGAGGAGGAGGACAGGCGCGTGGCCATACGCATCAAGCTGTGCGGGGAGTGTGGCGCGCGTCATGTGGCCGGCACCTGCCCCTTCTCCCGCCCCACCCACGTCCTCCCTGACACATGCCCGCCGCCCTCGCACACCCACGAACTGCCGCAGCAGAATGGCGTGATCGTGGCGCCGCCCCACAGAGATTCCCCCGTCAACTTGTCTGGCGGGGGGCTAGGACGGGAGGAAGAGCGAGAGGGTGAGACATGGAGGGACCCCCAGCGGCCAGGCTCCCCCACCTGCTACGCCCGCACCTCCCTTCCTCCCGGCCTCTGCCTGGAGCGACGCGTCCTCCCGCCTCCGCACGATAGCTCTGTTGACAGCGACAGTGACGTGGGCGTGGTGGGCGTGACGCAGGTACCAGGGCGGCAGGTAGAGGTGGTGGTGGCGAGGGCTGCAATCACCCGCTACACCCAGCTGGGCCCCGTGGTGGGCGTCCCCGTCAGGGAGCGAGACATCCCCGACGACTTCTGCATGGTTAACCTGTGGGAGGTGAGTGTTGCCGCCGCCTCTCTATGTTCTAACACCATGCTTATATACCATCATCATACGTCATCATTATACACCATCATACCACCATCATTATACACCACCTTCATCATACATCATCATCATACACCATCATCATACATCATCATCATACACCATCATCATACCACCTTCATCATACATCATCATCATACACCATCATTATACGTCATCATCATACACCATCATCATACCACCTTCATCATACATCATCATCATACACCATCATTATACGTCATCATCATACACCATCATCATACCACCTTCATCATACATCATCATCATACACCATCATTATACGTCATCATCATACACCATCATCATACCACCTTCATCATACATCATCATCACACACCATCATTATACGTCATCATCATACACCATCATCATACCACCTTCATCATACATCATCATCATACACCATGATATAAGTCTCCTCAGTCTGTTCTTATTATGTCCATCGTCACATCTTAATCAGAATCTTGCTGCGCCATCACTTATCACACCCCTCACGCCCACTCACCCCCACCTCTCACCCCCTCACACCTCACCTCTCACACCCCACCTCTCACCTCACACACCTCACCTCTCACGCCCACCTCACTCCTCTCCACACCTCACACCTCCTCTCACACACCTCACCCCCTCTCACACCCCCACTCACACCCCACCTCTCACACCCCACCTCTCACACCCCACCTCTCACCTCTCACACCTCACCTCTCACACCTCACATACTCCCTCTCACCTCACACCTCTCCACCCCACCTCCCACCCCACCTCCTCCACCTCTCACCACCTCACCTCCTCACCTCACACACCCCCTCCACCTCTCACGCCTCACCTCTCACACCTCACCTCTCACACCCCCTCCCCACCTCTCACACCTCCACCTCTCACACCTCACCTCTCACCCTCACCCCTCACCCTCACCTCTCCCACACACCTCACCCTCTCACACCTCACACACCTCACCTCTCACACCTCACCTCTCACACCTCACCTCTCACCCCACCTCTCACACCCCACCTCTCACCTCACCTCTCACCTCACCTCTCACACCTCACACACCTCACCTCTCACGCCTCACCTCTCACTCACCTCTCACACCTCACCTCTCACACCTCACCTCACCACACCCTCCACCTCTCACACACCTCACCTCTCCACGCCTCCCACCTCTCTCACACCTCACCTCTCCACCTCACCTCCTCACCCCCACCTCTCACACCTCACCTCTCACACCTCACCTCTCACCTCACACACCTCACCTCTCACACCACCCCTCACCTCTCCACCTCACCTCTCACACCCACCTCTCACCCCACCTCACCCCCTCTCACACCTCACCTCTCCCTCACCTCTCACACCCCACCTCTCACACCTCCTCTCACCTCACATCTCACACCTCACCTCTCACCTCACCTCTCACACCTCACCTCTCACACCTCACCTCTCACCACACCTCTCCTCCTCACCTCTCACACCTCACCTCTCACACCTCTCACACCCCACCTCCTCACCCCACCTCTCGCCTCTCACCTCACACACACCTCCCTCTCACACCTCCACCTCTCACCTCACCTCTCACCCCCCACCTCTCACACCCCACCTCTCACCTCACCTCTCACACCCTCACCTCCTCACACCCTCACCTCTCCACCCTCCTCTCACACACCTCACCTCTCACACCTCAACCCTCATACCTCACCCTACCTCATCACCTCACATCACCTCACCTCTCCCTCACCCTCATACCTCACCCCGACCTCATCACCCACTCACATCACCTCACCTCTCACACCTCACCCTCATACCACCCCTACCTCATCACCCCTCACATCCTCACCTCTCACACCTCACCTCCACCCCACCTCTCCACCCCACTCCTCACACACCTCCTCACACCCCACCCCTCTCACACCTCACCTCTCACACCTCACACACCTCACCTCTCACACCTCACCTCACCTCATCACACACCTCACCTCTCACACCTCACACACCTCACCTCTCACACCTCACCTCACCTCATCACACACCTCACCTCTCACACCTCACCTCTCCACACCTCACCTCATCACACACATCTCCAGCAAAGAACCTCGACACCTCTCTAAAGCTCACCTGGCCGGTGAAGTCCTTCCTACCCAAGACATCTTCGTTAAGGATAATCTCGTTACAGAGCCCTTAGACCCAGTAGAATTCTCCGAGAGTTCCTATATTAGACGTCCTTTCATTTTCCTCTCCTGTAGCTTAACATGTGGAGGACACTCGCCCTAATGAAGTGAATCCTACAGGTTAAAGTAATAACGAGTCTTTAAAGTTACCACAGTCAGCCACAGCACCATACCGCAGCATCATACCACAGTCAGTTAACCATACCACAGTCAGCCATAGCACCACACCACAGTCAGCCACAGCACCACACCACAGTCAGCCATAGCACCATACCACAGTCAGTCATAGCACCATACCACAGTCAGCCATAGCACCACACCACAGTCAGTCATGCACCATACCACAGTCAGCCATAGCACCACACCACAGTCAGTCATAGCACCATACCACAGTCAGTCATTGGCACCATACCACAGTCAGTCATAGCACCATACCACAGTCAGTCATAGCACCATACCACAGTCAGCCACAGCACCATACCACAGTCAGTCATAGCACCATACCACAGTCAGTCATAGCACCATACCACAGTCAGCCATAGCACCACACCACAGTCAGTCATAGCAACATACCACAGTCAGTCGCAGCACCATACCACAGTCAGTCATAGCACCATACCACAGTCAGCCACAGCTACCACAGTCAGTCATAGCACCATACCACAGTCAGCCATAGCACCATACCACAGTCAGTCATAGCACCATACCACAGTCAGTCCATACCACAGTCAGTCATAGCACCATACCACAGTCAGCCATAGCACCATACCACAGTCAGCCATAGCACCACACCACAGTCAGCCATAGCACCACACCACAGTCAGCCATAGCAACATACCACAGTCAGCCATATCACCATACCACAGTCAGCCACAGCACCACACCACAGTCAGCCATAGCATCACCACAGTCAGCCATATCACCACACCACAGTCACCCAGAGCACCATACCACAGTCAACCACAGCACCATACCACAGCCCCATACCACAGCCAACCACATCACCATACCACAGCCAGCCACAGCACCATACCACAGCCAACTACAGCACAGTACCACAGTCAACCACAGCACCATACCACAGCCCTATACCACAACCAACCACATCACCATACCACAGCCAGCCACAGCACCATACCACACTTACCACAGCACCATTCCTCAGCACCATACCAAAGCACCATTCCACAGCACCATAACTTGATGTGGTCTTGTATTCTGAACTTACTGGGAAAAAGTTATAATTACGAGTCTTTGTGAAACCGGACATTAATTATTTCCCTACCTGGGATAATTAGTGGGAACAGGTGGGCAGGTGAGTGAGAGAGAGGGGGAGAGAGAGACCTTACACTTTACCTGGAATAATTAGAGAAAATGGTGGGCAGGCAGGTAGATAAGAAGAGAGAGAAGAGACCTTACACTCTACCTGGAATAATTAGAAAATGGTGGGCAGGCAGGTAGATAAGAAAGGAGGAGACTTAACCTGGGGTGGTGCCAGCCAAGCTCCGGAATAACCAGGATTAGCCTCACCAAAGCCCACTTCTCGAGAGGGATTGTACATAGTATGTTAATAACTAAGTTTACCTCCCCCTCCCGACTCCCCCTTCTCCTCCTACCCCTCCCTCTATAACCCCTCCCGTCTCTACTCTCCCCCCTCTTACCTCCTCCCCTACTACTCCTCCCTTCTCTCCCTCACCCCACCTTCCCCTACCACTCCCCTCCCCTACTACCATTCCCCCTCCCTTCCCTCTACTACCCCTCCCTCTTTCATCTAACCCCTTCCCTCCTACCACTCCCTCACGCCTCTTACCCTCCTCCTCCTACCCCCTCCCTACCCCTCTCTACCCTCCCCCTCCTACCCCTTCCTACCCTCTCTACCCCATTCTACCCCTCTCTAATCCCCTTCCTACCCCTTCCTATTCCTCTCTCACCCCTCCCTCCCTTCAAACTGTTATTACAAATTATGAAAAGTGACTTAAGGTTTGATTTGGTTGGTTTGTTAGGTTAGATTAGGTTAGGTTAGGTTAGGTTGGGTTGGGTTAGGTTAGGTTAGGTTAGATTAGGGTATTTTGGTTAGATGGATTAATTTGGGGTAGGTTAGGTTAGGTTAGGATTTGAGGGTTTGTTTTCATTCTCGCCAGTTCCATGAACCTCACTAGACAGACAGACAGACAGACAGACAGACAGACAGACAGACAGACATCGACTGTAAGATAAGAAACAAACAGACAAACGATGGCGACTACACTGTCAGCTGGCGGGGGATAACAACACCGCGCCACCGTGACTGATCGTTCGTGTCCCGGCATATAGTCTGGTGGGTCACGGTCAATCACGTACAACACACGCACAGACACGAACAAAACACATACAAGTCACGCACAGACGGCAGTGTGTGTGTGTGTGTGTGTGTGTGACCTACATATTCGACCTTGACTGGGCGCTTCACATGTACAGTATACTAATGGTCGCCCCTCATGTAACGACGATGGCCGCCGTAGGGTTACCAAGGTGTGAATTTGTTTAAGGTGTAGAAGCTGTCGCCAACACAACAACCACACCCTGAGTTAACGAGATGCATGACCCAGTGTCAAGGAATAGTCCGAGAAGACCGGACAACTCGCCAACTGCACTGGCTAACCATTACCCTGGAACACGATCCGCAAATCGATTAACATCCAGGTTCCCAATTACGGCTGGGTAGACAGAGGCAAATGGCGTAAAGAAGCTTGCCCATAGTTTCACCTTGCCCAGGGGATCGAACCCGGATACGCTTGCTTGCGA